GAGCCTCCTATATGCGGCAGCCAAAACTGGAGAATGTGTGTCTTTGCATGTGGTATTCTGGGTTTTGTTTGTCTTTTTTAATATTGATTGTAATTTAAGGGCAGGGTATATAATGTTTGTGGCAAAAAGAAACTTTTCCTTCCTAGGCTATTGTTTGCGCATAGTTCAGTTTCATTTGAAAACATCTGTCTCATGAATAAATCCAAACTAAGTGATGTAAGCCAGCATAGCTGAGCTGTTAAACAAATAACATTTCTTAAATATCTATTAATTTTTAGTTAAGATCGGATTGCCTGAAGGCCTTGCGATCTAACATAAACCAGATGATTTATTCCTGTGTTCATATGTTGCTTAGCACCATAGGGTTTCTAGATGATAAAATAATAAAAATATTAATAAATAATATGCAATACCTTCCAACGTAAATCACAGGCCTCATTATCCAGCAGCTTTTTGACTGCTGAAACATAAAACGAGAACAAAAGTATTTCCCACTTAATGATGGTCCAGATAGCAGCATCGTTGCCTTCTCTGCCTCATGTAAGGCATGGTCACATCTTGCCTGCTTCCAAAAAACTTGAGAAATGTCTTGCTTTGTTTTCTGCTTCAGCTTAATTCTTCTCAGGGTCCTCCCTTTGGGAGATTTAGATTTTTGTCAGAGATGTATGAAACTGCTTTCCTTTAATACAGCGTTCTTACAAGTATGATCCTGCAAAATGACATCTGGAGTGTACGCATGATTGAAGGTTAACGATCCAACTTAGAAAAGCGCTGCTATCTTCCAGTTGTAAACATTGGAGGTCTTATGTCCCTGCCTGGTTCTAGGTTGCCTTTTTGGCTATATTCCTGACAAATCTTATGCTGCCATCATGCCCAATATTGCTCAGCAGTGCCCAACTCTGAATGTAAACGGGTACGGATGGTGCCTGCTCAAGGGGAACAGTGACCAGAGCTGCTTTGTTCTCTGCATTTCTGTCAGTGTGGTGGCAGCAGCCTGGGGGGGCATTTTTCTTTGTCGGTCCATACGTCCAGAGCAGATTTAGAGCCACTTCATTATCTCTAGAGAGGCACAACTGGACTATAATCTCACTATATATTGCCATGCAGATTCCAGGATCTACCCCGTGCCTGGCTCCCGGATATTGGCAGAGATCCTCTTGAGCGATGGAACAAGGGATGGATATATCGTAGTCTTCCTTCTTGCTGCTCTGAATTCATTTACCGAACTTCATATGCAGATTCAACTATTTGATTGTTGACAAGAGACGATTATCACTAAGAAGAATCTTATTTTGTCTTCATTTAGGCAGCCTCAAATAGAGTCTATGCTGACTGAGGTAACGTGGGAAAGCCATGAGGAACAGAACAGACCTTCTTAACATGGTGCAAAATCGGGCTTATTTGCTGCTTAGAACTGAGAAAAATCTAGAGGATCCTGACTGTAACGGCAATTACTGATGTAACCAATTTAACAATGGAGTTCAGTCTGAGTAGTTCTGCAGACCTGAGTTTGTCTAAAAGATTCCCTCTCCTTTTTCAGGTAGCTTGCTTGTGCCAAATCAGCTCTGTCCTATCATTCAAGTACTGCACTGAGTTTTCATTTTTAGTTTAGCTATTCCTAGTTATTTGTTTCTGCTTGGCAATATACAATCAACCAAAGGTGCAAAAGGAAAGGAAATACTTTCTGCTTTGTTCTTCAGTTAATTAAACTTGAGGTAAATTAGATTTCAGTTAATTCAATTTTTGGTTTGGAGTTGAATAATTAGGAGTATATAAGTAAAAATTCCAAATGTTGTTTTTCTTCTTTAAGTCAGAAATGAGTCATATAAAAGGATGACAACCTGGGAAACGTCACTAAAATAATTGGTAGGAAAGTTAAACATTGGCTGCCTTTTATGATTTCTTTGAAAACAGTTACTATTTTAAGGAGACAACATTTTTTCTACCTACCTCTTACAGTGAAAGGTAAAACACTATAAAAATAGACTTATTATGGAAACAGCTCTATTTAAATAAACACAGTTGGTGTGTATCAAACCCAGTAACTATTTGAAATGAACAGAGTAAGCACAAGTGGCTTCAGGTTAAAGTGGCCTAGTGAAAGAATGGGACATTAGAATTGTTTCACTAACAGCATTTTGGGGCTTGGTAGGGGAATCGGAGGAAGACCAACTGGCAGTGGAGAAATTCCCTATGGCAAGAAGCACTAAGCATGTAAGCAAGCACAAGCAGCTGGTGTACTCCCAACAGAATTTCCTAGGCTGGTTGGTTTTCCAGGACTCAGCCTGGCTGCTTATCCAGAGTGAGCAGTTCTGAACTGGCCAGCATGTTTTGAGAAGGTACAGATATTCCCCTCAATATAAGTAAGTTAAAAGATGTTCAACAGTTACGGCTTTAAATGAGCGAATTAAGTCCTTGTGCTGATACGGAATTCACCGTTAGTTTGGGTTTATTTCACAAAACCAAATATAAATATACTTGGTCTACTACATTCCAAACAGTGAGAACATTTACTTTCAGATTATTTGTATCAAGAGTATACCCTTTCTGGAAGGGACAGTTTAAAATATTTTTTATGCTTTATATATTCTAGTTCTACGTATCCCATTTTCTCTGTTCTGTCTCAAGAGCCTATCCCCTGCCCCATTCGAACTCTTGTGCACTACGTATGTTTTCTGCCACCAGATGTTTCCCTTCTTGAATGCACCGTCGGCTGTACCTTACTCCTCTAACTTCAGTTGTTTTCTTTGCTTCCTTAGCAGATCCCCTCTAGCAAATGTAGCAGCACGAGCACAGCACAAGCTGCTAAGCATCATAGATGGACGTCACACCACATCTCCTCTAAAGTACTTCCCATGTACACAAAACAAATCTGCATTTTTGTATTTTGCACAGCCATGTACTAAGACCTCTTTGCAATGCACATGCACAATTAATGCCATTTTTTGTGCTGCCGCAGATGCTGCTTTCTATTTCCACAATGTTGGCGTGACTGAAATCCTTGACTTTTGACATAACTTTCTGCTGTGCTCAGCCGCTAGCTTTACTTGCCAATGCTTTTTTCCATTTTCAGCATTAAACAATATTTTGGGGCCAACCTGTACACAGCCATGAATGTCCTTAGCCAAATTTCAAAGTAATATATTCTAAGGTGCAACTGAAAATATGACATGTGAAGTGCTACTGATTATTCTAGACGTGTTCTACCAGTGCTGCACTCTTTTCTTAGGCTACTAATCTCATCTCATTCCTCAGGCATTCTGCTCAGTATCTTCTCCTCCCTACCCCACCCCAACTTTAGCATCCGTAAACCAAGCTCTCGCTGGGCAGCTCTATCAAAAGAGGCTAAAACTGTGCTCCCCAAAACCAGGGGTGCTAAAATGCCAGGTGCACAGGGGAGTAACGGTATTTCACAGGCTTCCTTTACTGTGTCAGGCATAAATTCAGACTACACGACAAACTGACCTTCAGAGAACTCCTACCATTTGACATCAGAGGGGATTTTGTCTGTACATGGAAGGAGGGTGCCCTCAGCGTGTTGGATACGGCCTCCTGCTCCACTGCTTCATCAGTCTAATTGCATAACATAGCATGGCTGGAGAACACTGAATTACCACGAAACATGCTCTTTTCTGTTGTGAGGTCTGTCATTTGCAGTTTGTCCCTCTTTGGATCCAGATTCCTTTACTGATTCCTATAGAGAATAGCTTGGTACCTCCCATCCATCACTAAGTCAGCTCTTCCTATTTTGACCTTGAGGCCTTCCACACCTTAGCAAGTCCTACCCTGAGACATTCTGAGAGCGCTCAGTGCAAAGGGACACGCCTTTGAGCGTGTGAACAAGTCTTACCTGCTGTCAGCCCCTGTTTTTACAGTGCAGAGGGAAATTATTCTCTCTCTCTGACCCCAAGCCTTTTGGGAATGATACTTGGGTACTGTCTTACATGCTGGAGTCTATCCTAGCAGGTGTATGTCTGTGATCCAGTTTGCCTTTGGTTCAACTCTTCAATGCTTGCTAGACATTTCTCTCATAAAAGTTCAGTTAAAAATCTACATGCAATTGCTGCATGAGACTAAAGCCAGTGCCAGCACAGTGTCTTACTGAGGCGACTTCTTGTACCAAAATAAAATGGCAGACGGTTTCCCAGCCTGGACCTGCGTAAGATGGGTGCTACCTCTGGCAAAAACACGCTGCTGGCAGTGCAGGATGCACATGACTTGTGGCTCTTGACCCTTAGGAAAAGCAGCCTCTGCAAAAAGTCATGGTCATTGAAAGCATTATGAATGCAGGTAAAACAGGTAGGTAATTTCCTCCCTGCCGTTACATTTGTTTTGGTTTTTTTTTCCCCTCCCCTATACTTTGGTAACTAACGACTGTGGCAGTTGGTGGAGCATCCTGGGAGACACAGTCCATTGCCTTGCAATTTTTATATAATGTTTTCATATTCCTGGGGGTATTTTTACAGAATGCAACCGAGCAGTCCGTCTTGCTTGAAGAGGTTGACAGATAATGCAACTGGAGTATAAAAACATCTTTATCAAGTTATCAGAGCTGCTCCTTGTTTACCTGAACTCCATCTGGAGAAAACGCCTCTCTGGGCCTTAGATAAACCAACTGCTGTCCCATTCTTCAGGTTTGCCTGCCCTCTGCTGCCCTCTCAGGCAACTTCATGGGATGCCGAAGAATGTAGAACTCTCTGTTGCTGCTGTTTTGTTATGCATTTCATGGAGATTTTCGTAACATGCATGAATATAAACCTAAAATATATATGGAAATTAGAATATACCTTGACATAGTGTTGTTGCTGGAGCTACAGATTTGGATTTAATTCCTAGTGTGATAAAAATTACATATTGGCAATTGTTTGACAGATACTAAAGTATCTGTATGTAGACGACTAATCTTCATTTGGGATTAAATTACATCACATAACTGAAGTGTGTACTTCTGAGTGTCACGCGTTTGCTCTCCCAGTAGTTTGTGTTCTGCTTTATTTCAGGAAGGCTTTTCATTAATTGATTCCCACAAGTGGCTAAAGATAGTAAGAAGAGCAGACTGCCTGCTGCTTCATGCACAGTCAAAGGTAAGTCTTGAGTTGCTTTTAGTATTTCTAATAGCTAACACAGTTCTGTGTAAGATTTCTTAATATTGGAGAAATTAAACCAGATACTGGTTTATTATTCCAAGATACTGTAAATTGTCTATATGAATTAAAAGATGTTTTACTTTTTACTCTAGGTGTTAAACAAGAATGGATTGAATCATCTTAATGTCTTTTGTAACTGCTGATACTCAGGTCTCTTAGGCTGCTTTCTGAGCATTAGCTACTAAACCAGCTAGACTGGTATTTCTTTTAGAATCTCTCTGCCATGGCTAACAGTTAAAAAGATGAAACAATTCTCTCCCACATACAGAACCATGCTACCTGTGAGTCATACTTCACTTTGGCAAACAAAGTTATCTCAACAATTATTTAGCCATTTTGTGGCCTCTGACATCTGGCACAGGAGTGGCCGGCTGAGAAGTCAGGCATTTGGTAGTCAAGGCAATGAAAGGGACCTAGGTTTCTGGTTTTCCCCTCAGATCTCATGAAAAGTGGTTGGTTAGCCTTTAAGTAATTAAACAGCACCTGCTCGTTACCAACTTATGTATAAATCTCAGTTTTCTTGGTTCTTAGATGAACTCTGAGAAAAGTTTCTTATTCACCTGCACTGAGCACTCACCAGGTTTTTTTTTCCAGAAACAAAGCCTGTTTCAAAATGAGACAAGCTCTCCCTTCTCCCCAGATAGTTTCTAGGCTTTGTTGTTTCAGCAGAAACAGCTGCCACCAGTTTAACTATCTCTATTTGACAAGAGAATTCATCTCAAAGTTAGAAACAGGAATTCTGGAAAAAGATGGTGAGTCCCTTGTTCAGTAGCTGCTAGAGACCAGTTTTAACTCTTTGCCCCATTCACAGAACTATTAAGGCATAAAAACTTCTCAAGTATTCCGAGGTGTTCTGGCGTTCTCCCCTGACAGGAACTCTGGTACAGACTGGGTGATTGTAATTGCAGATAACAGCAGTATCCAGAATAGCTGCAAACTGTAAAAAATCCTGTTTAGTTGTATTTTGGATCTTTTATCTGATTTCTTTTATGAAAGATAAATATTTCTTCATAGGGTGTTACAAACCAAACAATATCATTTGCAGAGGGGAGAATGCCTTGCTAGTTGCAAGATAAAAGCAGATGTGAGGCATAATAAACATTCTTTAAATGTAAGGACTTGTCTTGTTTCAGAATAAGCCTAGTCTAATGGTGGCACTAGGAACTGCATAAGTAAGTATCTTAAACTGTTTTAAATTCACAGGTTATGCTTGCCTGAAACCAAGACACCTTTGCTCTCTGATTTTTGTCAGATCCTTATAAAATGTGGAGTATCACTGCAGAAGACTACTGAGCTGTTGCAGTGATTGTTTCTGAGGAATCAGTAGATTATCAGTGTTCTTTACAGTTAACAGCACCTGTTCCCCAGCACGGCATTAAGGGATTCTGCTGCATCTCACAAGAAACACAAGATCAACAACACAATCACGTTGAGGCTTGAGCAAAGCTCTGAGGGACGGTTCAGAAAAGGAGGAATATTAACATAGCCTTAAATGAATGTGGTGCATCTCAGTGTTTACTTACCATAAATTCACATGACTTAAACTGGATTTAGCGGCACTGCAGTGGTCCTGTCAGTTTCTCTACTTTATATCCTATATTGTAGCTGAAGTGATTCCTTAAATGCTGTCAGTGTATACAGCTTCTGTGCTAATCTTCAGAAACATTTAAAAAAAATTCAGGAAGCCAGGTACACCCTGTAAAGGCTTAAGCCTCAACCGTGCTAGACCTAATTAAGGAAAGAGTCAAGCAGAAGCCATTTAAGCTGAGGAATGCAAGGCAGGTTTTCAAAAACCACTTGCTATATCCGAGTGCACACAGCAACTAAGGAGCACGGGCAACCAAATACTACACTGTCATTTCTGATTTGTACACCTTGTTTGTTATAAGTCATTAATACTGCATTTATAGTGAAACTAATTTCTTAAGAAGTATGATTTTAATAGGTCACTTAGCTAGCAGAATGAGTTTCTAAACTATATTTTGAGAAGCTTAGCACTAATATACTTGAAGGAACAAGACACGTAGAGAAAATACCTGTTGCGGATTGCTACTGAAACTCACCTGTCTTTGACTCATCAGTCTTTGATGTGCCTCTACGTATAAAAACTTTTTTATATGAAACAATCTGTAAACAGTAGCAAGACCAACATTCTTAATATTCCTGTAGTAAGACATTTCCCGTTATACCCTTTTCGTTGAGCTTTCCCCTGCTGCCCCAGCATGGACAGAGTTGCAAATGGGATGATCCAAGTGACCTCAAGGTTCCTTCACACTTCAGCTCTTGGATAGTTCAGGTGTTACTGCCCAGAACTCATGCTATGCTAAAGCTTGGCATCATCTTAGCTGAATTTGAGCGCTCTCTCCCTTTCCATAAAGGAAAAAATGTTTAATTTACAAAGCCTGTTGTTGTTTATAAACTGCAATCTTAAGTATTTAACAGTCCTTGTGAAAAAGCAGAGGGTGATACAAATAGCTCCGACTGAAAATGGATTTGGGGATTGTACCTAAAACAAGCGCTCTTTGAAAGTCTGCAAAAGGAATTCAAGTTAAGATGCAAGTTCCTTTTCTGTCATTTTAATGAGAACTCACCTGTCTGGCATATCCACAGAGCAGTTCTCAGTTATGCGAAGCTGACCCAGTTAAGTTGACATCTTAGTTAATTAGAGGAAATGTAACTGGGCACTGGAAAAAATGAATGCTACAGTTTGAGTTATTTTGACATTTTTTTCCCTTTAAAAGGCACTGAGACAAGCTTTTATGCTTACAATGCCCTAAAAACCATTTTATGCAATACAAGCATCTTAAAAATAACATGCATGTAAACATACAGGCTGTCATGAAGAGCTGGCTCATCTCCGAGACAAAAATCTTCAGTGAAAGCTGTCCTTGTATTTGTGTAATCAGCAGTCTAGCAGCGTGTCTAGTCGTTAAAAAAATGGTGTTTGATATTTAAATCTGAGAAAGATGGAGACTCAAGTAAGTTAGGTTGGTGTAAGGAAGACTTCTTTCCTAGGCTTTAGCTGTGTTTTCAATTGGAAATTTTAAGATCAGCCTGAAAGTCCCCTTAACTCACTCCCTGAACAAGAACATTCAATATGCATCTGCCTTCCATTAGTTGAACGTGCTTAGGACAAGCTTATCAGGCATGACAGGCTCTTCAGTCCTCCATTTTCAGTGCAGTTTCCTGGACCTCATGCACTTAAAAAAATCTGCTACAATACAGCAAGACAACCTATACTGGGGGTCAGGTCTATCCTTTTTTACTTATTTTTCATATTCACTATTTGAAGTAGCGCATTTGAGTTTCTCGCACTCCTAATCAACTGTGTTAGCATCTGTTCAAGGCACAGCAGCATTCAGTTGCAGTGCCAAACTTAATTTCTATGTTTAGCTATGCACGGGCACACCAGGTAGGTAGGGAAGGCTGGGTTTGATGCAGAGTAACATAAATCCTAAATGGAACATATGGTTCCCAGAACTTTTAGTTTAGATTCTAAAATTAACTTCTTACTTGAGCGTCATTTCATTTTTTGTCCCAAATAACTGCTCGGGGTTGGCGTATCCTTATAGAATACTACTTGCAGCAACAATAAAAACTTAATTTCCCTACTATACTTACAAAAACTCCCCTTCTTGTGTCAAGGTTTGCTCACTTGCCCAGACTTTAGTTAGCTGACAAGCGGCCCTGCTCACTTACTTAGCATTTTCCTGGGTTTTTTAAACTGATTTTCAGACTGGGAATCACAGTCTTCCAGTTTAGCTGCTGGGATACACAAAGATAGCAGGGAAAACTTGTTTCTTTGTATTTAAATTGGTGCAGTGATCCAAAAATGTATCACCTTCTTCCTAACTGTGACAAACAGGAATTTAATTAAAATAGTTTGAGGGGATTCACAGTTAATTTCATTTCTCTTTGGTTTTTTGAGCAGAATGAATGCCGCATATTTCGTGTTCAGTTTGGTGGAGATTCGAAAGAAAAGATGCTGGAACACTGCTGCAGTTGCATTCAGAAACTTGCAGGGTACGTACCGGTTCAAGTAACCGATGAACAAAGCCAGAAGCTGCATAATGGTGAAAAACAAGTAAAGGACACTGAACAAAATGCATCATCTCCACATATAGTAAGTATGTGAGAACATATAGTCAGAAAAATAGAAAAATATTCAGCTGTGTTGGATCTGTACATCACAAATTTTACTTCTGAAGGAATTTTTTTGCAACTATGATACCATCTAATAAGGAATACACTTGGGGAAACCCTAAATTCAGTTTCCATGCAGGGGAACCCAGTTAAGGAACGGGGCTAGAGGTATTCAGCTGCTGAAGCTGGCTGTTGCCTTCCTGTTTCCTTAGTGTGCCTGAGAAAAAGCAAAGGGAACAATGCTCAAAAAAGGGGTTCTAGCTCCTTGAGCTTATTGTAATACACTCTTCGCGATGAGGTGCCTTTGTTTTAGCCTCTGAAAAGTCGCTAAGAACTGAGATGAATACACACATTTTGTGTTATCATAGGAAGAATATTAGCAAGCACATGGCATGAGATTTATAGGTGGAGAAAGCTTTGCCCTGGGGTTTGAACTTTTCCTTAGCTTGGGACCCTGGAAAGTTACTGACCATGACAAGAAATGGCAGTGAAGGCTCCAGCCAAGCATTGTTTACCAATCCCCAACCAGATAGTGGTATGGTCTGGTGGAAGACTGAGATGCTTTCTGCTGAGGTTAATAAACAAGAGTTTGCTAATAAACGAGAGTAGGGGGAGGAGGATGAGAACTGAAGAGTGACCAAAACCCCACATCTACAATTTCATCGGTGTGCCATCAGAGTGGTTCCAAAGAATGTTTATCAATATGGTGATAGGCGCTTTATATATACAAATATATATATAAAAGCTTTTCAGCTCAGACTGCTGGGAGCCACCTGGCAGACTGTCCAATAAATTGCACTGGGTAAGAAAAATGATCAGCGCCATGGAAGTAACCATGAACTGTGTTCTCCTTTTTGTGTTTACCTACTCCTGTTTTACAGCATTAATAATTGTAAATATAGCAATTGTATCAATTTGAGCTTAACCTGACACATTTAAAAGCCATTTCAGGGTAGGAACAGAATGTTTTTCCTCTCCAAGACAAAGACCTAAGGTAACCAGAAAAGGCAGAGACAGACAGTATTTCTGAGGGTGACTAATTCTTAAATCTCTGCTCTCTTGGGTATCCAGGGAATCACATTTACCAGCTCTAAAAAAACATCCCTGCATCTGACTTAGCCAGGATAGCTCTTGGGTACATGATAAAAATATCAGGACCAAGACCGAGCCCTAAAACAGGAATGTCAAAGCTTTCACCTACATCATTTTCGTGAAATAATCTAGGAAGGGCCTACTCTACCGGACAGTGGAATCTTATTTGATAGAGAAAGTGTGGGGAAAAAAAAATATTGCTAATTTGACTCATGCCATTTCCAGGAAGGCACATGGGAAACCTTCAGTAGCTGATACTCGAGATTTATTGCTTGTTCTTTAAGCAGATTGCCTGTACGGTGGGCTTTGCTCGCTTCCTGATAAACTAAAACAAAGAAGGAAAGGTAAAGAAAGTATTTCGTGGCAGAATGCTATCGAACACCTGCAGTATTGGTATTATTGGTAAAGAGCATTATTTAATGCTCCTTCTCCAGAAGTTAGGACTGAAAACATTGCTCAGAAAATAGAATTATCAACTTAAACCAATCTTTTCTATGATGTGACCCAGGGGAAGGAAAAAAGCATGCTCCTGGTGAGCATTCATGCACAACAGTTTTTTATAAAGTTACTTCCAGTAAGTAGTTATCTTAGTTTAGATGTGACCATTTAACTATGGGCCCATTATTTTATATCTTTCATTTTTAAAGACTTGAGCAGATGTGCATTCGGGTTCCATAAAAAGATGCCTTTTTACTGCATAAGGGAGTTGAGCACATTCTCTTCCTGTTATCTCTAAAAATGGAACCATTTCCCTTCTTGCACATACCCACACTCTGCTTGGTAACGAGCCCTTATTTGCATTTGGTCTTTTCTAGCCAGATGAGCCTCTACCAGATTCCCACCTGGGAGAAAGAAGATCTGTAACACAGCTAGCGCAGGTAAAAAAAAAAAAAAATCTAATATTTAGATCCTGTAACTGCATCTCTTGGGCACGGAGAGAAAGCAGGCTAGCTCATATGCTGTAAACATCTGGTAAATGTCCTCACTGAACATCAGGATGCCATCATCTATACCAACAAAAACACCTGCAGCTAGGAAATAAGCCACAAAACCAGGTATTTCATGTGTAATTACTCCATTTGCATACAAACAAGCCACCACACCCAGAGAGCAAGCACATACCCAGAAGTCACATCCAAAGGGATGGCTCTGTCACTCTTGGAGACCACAGAAACCACCTCCGCAGTCACTGCTGAAGTCTGAACATACAGAGCATCCCTGACCCCCAGCAGCAGATCCCCTCATTCATATCAGCTTCCCTGAAGAGTCCAGGGTAAAGCCATGTTTAAAAATAACCGTAAGTTACCTGTTGCTCGCTTACTGTGTGAATTTGAGATGGTACACAATCAGATCCTCAGGGAGAAAATTCCACTCCAACCTCTGGGTCTGTGCAGCTGCCTCTCTAGGTCTGTCTCACCCTTTTTCCATACAGACAGGATCATCTGGTCAATGTTTTTTCAGGTCAGTGGTTTAAGGGACAACTCCTATGCTCCCTATTACAAATCTGTCCTCTCTTAAACACAAAAAAGCCTTTTAAACACCTCTGTTTTCAGAAAGCAGAGTTCCCTGTGCTCTCGTCTCAGCAGCAAGAGCTGCATTACACACCCTGTTTCATTCCCAACAGTTTTGTTACCGTCCTCGTACAACGCAGCACAACTGCCTCAGCCACCAAGTGAGCAAAGCACTTTGCTTGTAGCGCCTGTGTTTTTCATGACCAAGCTCTGCATTGAGGCAGCGCTAGGAAGTGTAAATTAGCGCTATAAACATTACCAGGAACAACTCCGCTTCTAAAAACTGCTATTTTCTGGTCCTTGCACAGGGCTGAACTTTTCCCCACCTAAACTCCAGAAACACATCCTTTGGGCTGGTGCTCTGGAACACTCTGGAGTTAAATTTCTCCATTTCCACCCCTGCAGGAAGCTCGCAGAAGTGCTGGGTTTAAGCATTTTCTTGCTGTTTGGTGGTGTGGGTTTGTTTTTGGGGGTTTTTTTGTTTTTTTTAAAAGAAACTCAGCAGTCTTCAATTTCTGCTTAGAAATATTTTTTTCTCTGGCCAAGACTATGGCATGACCCAGGATAAAAGAGCCATACTGCAATGTAAGCGTCTCGCACAATTTCAGGCTCAAGCTAGGGCCAGACTGAACTGAGCAGCAATTCTGTTGCAGGTAGAAAACACTCGGTTTAGCCTGCACCTCTCTGATCAGCGCATCAAAACCAACCAAATGGCCAAACTAAGCATTTGAAGGCTTTTTTTAAAGCCTAAGACTAACCCGCATTAGTCACGCCCCCTGTAATAACACCTTGGATGGCCTCTGTGCATCACACCTACCTCATCGTGATAGTAGCACTTTGCTTCTTGCTCTCCCATTCAAATTATCCAAAAAGCATCCGTAACTGATGCTGCAGCTTTAATGACTTTAGCACAGACGGGGTGAAGGGAGCGAAAGGCTGAGCGGGGGTGGGGGGTGGGGTGAGGTCTGTAAGAATACTTGGGCATGGGGAAAAAAAACGGCGCAAACACCGGCACATAGCACAACAAAGGCAGTTTACAATGAGGAGCAGCCCTGCCTGCAGTTTAAACTCTGAAGTTACTACTCCTTTCTCCAGCAGGAAGCTGGCAGCCTGCCATGAGAAAGTTTTAGTCGAGCTTTGTCATCTTGAATGGCAGCACGGAAAGTGCTCAGGAGTTGCCCGATAACCTATGAGACTCGTGCATTTCTCCAGTGCCCCTGGCTGCTGGGAGGCGGTCAGGGCTTCCTCGGCCTCTGCACGCCCGACATTGTACGTCTTCCACTCCACTGCTGCCAGTTTTACACTGTATTTTACCCTGCAAAGCGACACAATGCAGTTTCCGCACCCCCCCCCGCCCAAGCAGAGGGAGGGAGCTAAATGGGCACAAAAAGGATGTTTTAACTCTTAAAAAGCCCCACAATTTACTTCTAAAAGACACCTTGCTAAATTACGAGCTTCAGACTGCTTCCTTGGTTATCCTTACGCAATCCAAGCGGCAGTACATACACTTTGTACAGGATCCTCTTCTCTTACGCATAACATACTCACGAGGAAGCCACATTACCCAGGAAATCAGCGTTTCCAATTTAAACAATTGCAAAGGAATTCCAAGTTGTGTAAAAGCTATGTTGGAATCGAAGCTGAGTAGCAAAGAAAAAAAAAAAAATCACATAGGGAAATCCTACCTGACTGCAGGTATTCAAACCGCAAATAACAAGGCAGATGCATCTTTTATTAATTACATTTATACTAAAGGAAGCCCCTGACATAGCTTTGTTGTTACAAAACCTGTCTAATATTACCTTTTATGCCCCAGATGAGTGCAACACCTTTGGTTTCTTTTTTTTACTTTTGCAGTCTGTGCTGAAAAAGCAGTCTGAGCTGCCCCTCGTGCATCAGCATTCCACATGGAGCACGCAGGAGCTGGGGCCCTTCATTCGCTTATGCCTGATGGACCAGAATTTCCTGGCTTTTGTGGAAGATGTGGAGAAGGAATTGAAAAAACTTGCAGAAGGCTGAGAAATCCCATCTCATTCCCACCGGCATGCACACCCCAGGGTACCCAGCACTCAGGATAAGCAAGCTGAAGTGCGAGTAAATATTTGAAAAAAAAGGTCTCACGCATGGGGTTTGGGGTTTTTTTTTGGTCAGTGTTTTATTTTTAAAAACAGGTGAATCCACTTTTTATACATCATTGCACTTCAACAAATACACAGAACACAAGTTCATGCATCTACAGTTACGCACATCATGAGAACCCTGTTAGGTCTATTTCTACAATCTTTAAATCATGAGAAATTACAGTGTCAAACTGAAGAGTATAACTAGTTGCATAGAATATCACCATGCTGTAACATTTCATCATTGAAATGAACAAAAAAAAAAAAAAGGAAATTATAAAAGTTTGCCTGAATTGAATGTACAAGAATATGTTGAACACATCAGTGCAAAAGGATTTGAGAATTTACATGAGTTAACCAAAAAAAAAAAAAAATCACTTAAAAAGCAATCATATATATATATATATTTATAAACTGAAGTTTTGTTTTTGTTTTCAACCGCATTCCTCCACCACCGCATCAAGCCATTCCAGCTTTTGAAGTCTGGTTATAGGACACCCAAGTCTCTCTATAGGTTAAGCCCTTAAGATAATTTCGATTTATATTACTTCTCTAAGTACCAGAACAGTATAATTCTCTCATCTTTCAGACATACAGTAAGGAATGAATATCAGCAGCTTAAAAATGAAACACAATTACTGTATTTTGGTTTTCCCCCACCCCCAAAATATAAATATATACTGTATATATTTTTAAGTTTTGCTGTACTTTACAAAAAGTATCACTAGATGGCAGCAGTGCATTTTAGAGCTTTGCCAATTTTAACAGCTACAGGAAGTAAAAAATGGCGCATGCGCAAACCGACTTACTACTTCTAATGTTTAAATAGATTTAAGGAAAAAAACAAACAAAAAAAGAAAATAAAAAGCAACATTCACAGCACATCAAGCCCAGAATAGTTTACACCTTCTACACTGAAGCATTATTAAAATTTATCTGGCTAGGTCATCCTTACAGGAGAGGCTAAATAAGGCATGCTTTAGACAGTCATATCGTTGCTCACTTGAAAAGGAAACAAATAAAAAGAAAAAAAAAAAAGAAAAAAATAATCAGACAGAACCGGAGTTCTAGAACCAAGAGTTCCAACCCTTAAATTTAGCAGGTCATATTGCCATCAGTCTCTCAGAAACTTAAAGCTCTAAAAAAGAAAGGAGAAAAGGGGCTATTGTCAGCGCCCGGCAGTGTTTTCCACCCTCATGTGCCCTAAGAGCGTGCAGTCAAAGCCCTTCACCACCAGCTGGGCCTTGAGTGAGTTCAAAGGCTTCCCAACCAAGTGGGCTTCCAGAGTTAAGATCGGATGAGGAAGGGCTTGGGGTTTTTTGGATTTTATTTTGATTTGTAGAGCGATTATGTAGAGTTCGACAGCAACTGAAGCGTTAAACTACCAGTGTGTTTTAGGAAAAAAGTCTTTTGATACCCCTCCTCCCTGCTCTTTGAAGCACAGTGGGAAGGTTTGTGCCACCCACTGAGCCGCCAGTAAGTTTTTAATAAGGGGAACAAATTTCATTTACCCCCCCCCCCCAACCACTACCGAGAAAGGAGGGCTTTAGCCTGGCCATTTCCGAGACGTAAACGAATCATACTTACATGATAAACGTTTTTAATTTGTGTTTCTCTGGCGTAAGTTTTTATCTTTATGATTGTTTGTAGAATTAGTTTTCCTGGAGAAAAAAAAATAAAGCAACAAAACCACACCAAAAATCAATCTCAACTGTAATGTCTACAAAGGCATTTTCCCCCCTAAGTTCAGCAGCTTTTTATTCTTCCTCCTCTCAAACTCAAGCAGCTAAAGGCAATGCGACTTTTTGACTGTTTGCACACCACCCTGTGAAATTCATCTCCTGCATCTCTCCTTCCTCGGTTTACTGCTGCTTTTTTACACATGAGGCTTCCCCCTGGCTCCTGCTTTACCAATTGCTTAAGATATTCGGAAAAGAAAAATCATCTCAAATCTGCTGTGCCAGGCAGTCAGGGAGACCACAGGTGGCTTCAGTGCAAATATTTGTTTCCAACTCCTTCAGCACCCTTTGTTTCTCTAGCAAGAACCTTGCAGATTTGCTTTTCTTTACTCCAGTGCTACCAAACAACCCAGAGAGTCCCTTACCATGAGTAACCTCATGCCTAATACCAATTTCTTCCTAAGCCCCCGATTAAGCTCAGTAACAGGTTCTTTCTTTTTTTTTTTTTTCTTCAAATGTACTTACATTGGCCCAGCTGGTTCATCATCTGCAGCAAGAATTCCGATGCAATCCGGGGGAAGAGAAGGAAAGGAAAGAAAAAGAGAAGTCAGGCTTTGCACCATAACACCGGCTGAACTGCAGAACAGCAAACCGATCTATCTACAGCGTTAAAGGCCATTCCACTCGGTAGTGCAAAGATTCATGGAGTTATTTTTTCTGGATTCAAGTTTGAATGGCAGGTATGTTGCTTCAATGGTTTTAGTTAACACTTTAAATGCTTGTCATGAAGAACTGCAACTGTAGCGGACAGATTGTTGCAATATGGTCAAGACTCATCTTGTCCCCAAGTTCCAGTGGTTCAATCTCATAAAAAATAGATGAGAAGACAAACCAACGTTTCAGTTGTAAAATCCTGCTGGTTATTTTCTTGCATTGTGTGGGGTTTTAAAAAAAAAAAAAAAAAAAAAAGAAAATATTTTTTTAAGCCATTCTTCAACTGCTGATGGGTGACTGCTGGTATATACACGACAGGATATACATGCCACCTGCTCATCTTCCCCCACGGATGACACAACCTCTTACATATTCCGTTTTTCTCAATCTCTAATTAGAACGGAGCAGGTTAGGAGGAGGTTGAAGGGTGCGATACTCGATTCAAGTATCCAAATGTAGTCCTTGAATAGCAGCAGGCAGCGTGCATGCATCCGGTAAGAGCATGGGGCTCAAAACACCAGGAAACGTTAGGGGTGTGGTAACACCTCCAGACACACCAGACTTCAGCTACGGAAGACTGACAGCATTGTTCTGCCTGTGCCTTGAGGCAAAAGTATTTGCTTTTAAGAATTAGAAAAAGATCTGCCAGTGAGCAGTGTTTGGCTTTAGCTCTTTCATGACCAATTGCACATAATTTTGAATTAGAAAACACCTTATTTTGCCCCCAAGCTGCAGTACAGAAGACAGAAGTGCATTGAAACAGCTGTACCAAAAG